TCTCCATGTAAGAATGCATTCTTTACATCAAACTGATGTAATGGCCAATCGAGATTTGCTGCTAGAGACAGGAGGACTCTGATAGTTTTGATCTTGGCTACTGGGGCAAAGGTTTCTTGGTAGTCTATCCCATATCTCTGTGTGTATCCCTTTGCCACCAATCTGGCTTTATATCTTTCAATAGATCCATCTACCTTGAGTTTCACAGTATAGATCCACCTCCATCCCATTGTCTTCTTTCCATGAGGTAATGGCACGAGTTCCCATGTGCCATTCTTCTGGAGAGCTCGCATTTCTTCATTCATGGCTTCTTTCCATTTTTGGTCTTCTAGTGCTTTAGTTACACTATTGGGAACAGGTATGTCGGCTAGCTACTTCACAAAGTGTACCCGTGACTCAGATAATCTGGTGAGGGATACATAATTGTTGATGGGATATTTCCCCTTTGCATGAAGATCTGCTTCGTAGTGAACTGGGGGTTTACCACGGTTCTTCCTTTTTGGAATTTGATATGTAGGCTCTGCGCCTTCTGAAATGCAATCAGTTATTTCATTAATGTTATCAGTTTCAGGTAGAGAAGTTACCTGAATGACGTCCTCAGCAGATGATTGGTGTGGTACTGGAGCTGAAGAATTCTCCGGAGCAGGCACAAACTCTTCAATTCCCTCCTCCTGAGTGTGATGGCTGGGATCGGACTGAAGCGGAACAATTTCAGAAAAAACTGGGGGGAGCGACCGGTTGTGAGGGTCAAGCGACCGGTCGCCTTCATGCGGAGTCGTGCTTTGCGACGTTAGTGGCGACCGGTCGTGGGGGCCATGCAACCGGTCGCTTTCAGGCAGAGTCTCGGTACGTTGCGACGTGCGTGGCGACCGGTCGTGAAAGGCATGCGACCGGTCGCTTTTAGGTAGAGTCGTTGGCGTGCGTGGGGACCGATCGTGAGAGACATGCGACCGGTCATTTTCGTCGGGCGACCGGTCGCTAGAGGTCGGCGACCGGTCGTTCTGAGTCTGGAACGAATTTGGAAACCCGGCTGAAGGGAAAAAATCGAACGAATCTAGAAAAAGTGCTGAAGTAAAAAATTCAGAATTTTGAGAAGAATCCTCCAGTGCATCCGAAAAATAGCTCTCTTGTTCCCGGAACGCAACATTCATAGAAGTATACACTTTCCGACTTGGAGGATGATAACACCGGTAACCTTTCTGATGAGGTGCATACCCAATGAACACACACTTGTCGGCACGGGGATCTAATTTGCTGCGTTGGTGATCATGTAAGTGGACAAAGACCACACAACCAAATATGCGGGGTCCAGGTTTTGGGTGGGAGGTATTTGGCCATGGTGTTGGAGTGTTTGAAGGGGGGTTCGGAATTGGAGGATACTAGAGGGAATTTGATTGATAAGATAAGCCGCAGAGAGGACGGCTTCGCCCCAAAAAAACCGAGGCATATTTGCACCAAAGAGGGATGCACGAACGACGTCCAGTAAGTGTCTATTCTTTCGTTCAGCCACACCATTCTGTTGAGGAGTGGAAGGGCATGAGCGTTGATGGATGATACCGTGAGCTTGGAAGAACTCATTAAGATCATGGTTAAGAAATTCCCCACCATTGTCAGACCGAAGAACCTGAATTCGGGTATGAAATTGTGTCTCCACCATGTGATAAAACTGTTGAAACTTGGAACTGACTTCCCCTTTAGTTTTGAGAAGGGAAACCCAGGTCATGCGTGTGCAATCATCAATGAACGTGACAAACCATCTAGCTCCCCCGGGAGTGGTAACTTTAGAAGGGCCCCAAACATCAGAACGAACAAGGGAAAAAGGAATTAAACTTTTATTGGAACTTAAGGGAAAGGGAACACGATGGCTCTTGGCCAGTTCATAAATGTCACACTTAAAACTAGAACTCTCTAAATCTGAAAATAATGAAGGAAATAGCTTCTGTAAATATCCAAACGAATCATGTCCAAGACGGCGATGCCATAACCATACTTTGGAAGTTTTCTTCTCAACACTCGTCCCCCCAATTTTGAAAGCCTGACTGAGGCTGGCTTCACTGTCAGATGCTAGGTCCAAATAATAGAGTTTGCCCCTCCTAGTACCACAACCAATCGTCTTGCTGCTGAGAATGTCCTGAAAAACACAATGAGTAGGCCAAAAAGTTACGGTGCAATTCAAAGCCGTAGTAATTTGGGCGACAGACAAGAGATTATTATGTAAGGATGGAACAATTAACACAGAATCCAAAGTGAGGGAGTCAGAGAGAGAGAGGGAACCCTCCTCAATCACTGGGGAGAGGGTACCATTGGCATTAGACACCACCGATTGAGAAGACGGTGTATGAGAGATAATTTGTCCCAGATCAAAGGTTATGTGATCAGTGGCTCCGGTGTCAATAAACCATGTATGTTTCTTTGAGGAACTATGCAAAACATAACCTTGGGTACCTGATGTAGCTACAAAGGCAGAGGCAAAGGCAGGGGCTGGTGCAGGATCTGTGACGGAAGATGTGTGGAATGAATTGCTCTTATTCCTGCGAGGAGCTTTGGAGTGGTCCCACCAATCCGGGTGTTGGAAAAATTGGCTCACCTAAGGATACATAGTCCTCTTTTGTGTGCTATGGATTTCTACCTAAATTCCATGACATGGTTGACTCATTTCTAGAAGAATTTTGGAGTTGCCCATGTGAGTAAATATTGGCTTGCCATCTTTGTCAAAAATAGGTGACTTGTTTGGTGGCACAAAATGGTGGAATGTTTGGTAGCCATCCATGGTTAAGTTTGGTAGCCAACATTTGAATAGTGTGAGGTTGCATTCACACTCTTGCATATTTGGCTATATAAAGGGGTTTAGCATGCAAGAAGCAAATTAAGACTTAAGAGTTCTCTAGTGTATCAAAGTGTAGAGCAAGGGGTGAGAGAGAAAAGAGAGCTTGGGGAGAGAATAGAGTTCTAAGGGGGTTTCTTTGTAAACCAAAGTTGTAACTTATTCTTTCATTAGTGAATTTCTCAAGGGGATCACCAAGAGGATGTAGGCAATTGCTGAACCTCTATAAATTCTTGTGTCA